TTTTCTGGAGAAAGAGAGAGAAACTCTGATATATTTTAATGGTTTTTTTTGTTTGTTTGTTTTTAACCAAGAAAGTATTTTTATCTCTGTATGTTCCACCATTCCTTCATCTCCACACAAGCTATGTTAAGTAATTTACTGGGTTTTTCAGTTCCATTTGTATTTCTCGGGTAGCATTTGTTTCTGCTCCTGAGTTTTGGGGACCAAATGCTTCTATGAATGTACCAAAGTGCCACTACATGAGAACTACAAGATCTCACCTGTAGCAATTTTTATTTCTTCAGAAGCAGAGAACAGGCCCTGCAGTACAGAAACATGCCACTCCTCCAAATGTCAAGTCGGCCAGTTATGCAAATAGCAGTTACTTTAAGAAATGGGATGAGGAAGCAGCTATTCAGGAAATTTAAATTGAGATACTGAGTACTGCAGGAAAGAGAAGAACCAGAATTAAGTCATCTTCTGACGTGACATGCTTTGAAACGTTACCTGCCACCACTTATGGGGAGCATCCTGCACTGCAGTTAAGACTTAACTTCTTGTATTTCATCCCTTGCATTCCCAGCCCTGAAACGCTCTTACACAGTGATCCTGCCGAGACCAGCACGTGTCACACATCGCCATATTCCAGTGTAACGTTCACTGCCACTGTTCCTTTCTAATTGCTGTTGGGCTAGTTTATACCTTCACTGTTGAATAAATCAGCATTTTAAATGAGCATTAAAAGTCAAAATTGCCACTTTAAGTATGTAACATTGACTCAAGACTATCTTCGAGCGGAAAGAAACAGAAATAGCATAAAAGAAATGTTTTCTTCCAACCAGAGGATAAGGCTCAGTAACAGTCGCAACTGCTTTGCTTCCATTCGTGCTGTATCGTTACGCCTCGGCGTGTATCTGAACGGGCGAGCTGTAGTCACGGGCCAGCCTCCTCCCACAGCATCAGGTGTTGATGCCAGGGCCCGAAGGCAGGCCCCGGCCGCTGGACCCGCGTGCTCTAGCTAAGCAAAAGGCCAGGACACTAAAGCATGCTTCACCATAGGCTGGGCTAACCTACCAACCCGTATGCTATGCCTCAGTATTTTCTCATTTTTCCCACATTTTAGTCTAAGCCTGACAAGTCCATTTTCCTTACAAAAATGGATACAACAGCATCAAGTATTTTTTATAGTTAATATTTCTGATAAAAGGCAACTTCTAGCTACAGCATACCTTATTATTGCTAAATTGCCAAGACCCAGAACAGATGAGAGACTACAGTTAAGTCACTCACAGGGATGCCAGAAGTTTGGAGAGTAACAGCACCGGAACTCATCAACGTGCATACATCCCACGGCCCCCTTGCGTATCATACCATATACACCATACCAGCCTCTGCCATCTTAATTTATGACACAACACCCAACATACAGCATCTACTATAACTGAAGCTCAACTGTCACTGTGTAAGAACCCCTGAGGTGCTTTTCTCTTTACCGGTTTTGATGTCAGATTTTCAGTAAGTTTAATACATCACATAACGGGCTTTCTGTCTGCTTGCCCAAAACGCGCATGACACAAACCCTTACGAGTCTCAAACACAACCCTCAGCTGTAACACCTAGGATTTAGGAGCTGCAAGATGCTACAATGAAGGAAATAAGTACCCTTGAACTTTCATGTGCTTTCAGCATCTGAGTCAGTTGAAAGACAGACTGGAAGAAAACTTGAGAAGAACGTTTCTTTTTGGCTCTACAAAATAACCTCCCACTCCTCCATTACCTGCTGTCCCTGGGCAGGCAGGCAGCACGCTGTTGCCACCAGCCTCCTACCAAGCTAGAAAATCAGCACATGTCAGTGTCCTCCAGTCACAGATTGCAGCTCTGAAGAGGGAAAAAGATTTTCCTTTTTTTTTTTTTTCCTTCTTTCCCCCAGCTGTGAGACTAACAGCCCTCAGTAAACTCTACAGTTCATAGATCAAAAAGACTGTATCTCAAAGCACGAGACACAGGCACTTCTAAAGCCATACCGACTCGCTTCTGTAGCACGCCTACGCACACAGGTAAGACTTAAAGAATACATTCACTCACGTTTTCTCAACAGTTTCCCATCGCTGTGTGCTGGTCAGTTGAACTCTTCTGTAGCTTTCCTCTCATCAGCTCTCACCCAGCTACTAAAGAACAGGTCTCGTCATCAAACAGGCAACTGCCAGGGGGCCATTTGGTGTGGCCTTCATCAGGTGAGTGGCCTCACCCGCAAAAATCCTGAGAAAATCAGCTCACCTGGCTGCTACCTATAGCAATGCCGTTCTTAAAGACGGCCTGGCTTACACTTCAGAGCTTTGTTGACATGATCAGGAAGGTAAGGAAGGATACTGGAGCAAAACGGCTCTTGTTAACCAGAGATCAACTTGTGGATGCCTCTTCTTGTTACAGGAGTTGTAACACTAAAATAATTATCAGGATACAATGTGTCCCCAGCCCTGTGGGTGCAGAGCAAAGCTGGCAAAGCCCTTTTCAGATAAAGGTTTTTCATCTGTGGTCTGTGCATCTCCAGGGGTGTGTGGAAGACTGCTGGTAGGCTTAAATTCACTTTATCATGACAGACACCTAAAGGAGAAACATTTTAGGGATCTGCAAACTCAAAAAGGTCAACAGTCCACTTAAGGATGTTAACCCCTAGCGCTGAAGACTTCTGTGATAACTTACTCAGCTGCCAGGCATTACAACAAAGCACCCTGCACTGGCCTTGGCACCTTAAGTCAAAACAAAGTCATATTCTTCAAAATGGTGATTATGGCTTCAGATGAATATCATTATTTGATACAGACATAAACCAATCTGCACAGTCTCATATGCAGAAAGACCATATTGCTTTTTCATCCCGTTACACATGTAGTCTACATATGGCTACATTAGAAAGAAGAGAATTCTACTCCCAATAAAAGAAAAAAATCAACAGTAAACTGACTGAGACAAGGGATGTATCAGCAGTGCTTAGAAATCAACAGCCGCGTTCGGCAAAGTAACATTGTGCACACAAACAGCTGGCGAGATTCAAAAACCCAATTCACTGAACAGAGCACACCCCTGCCTGTTCCGTCACTGCCACGGTTTTGTGGCTGATAGCTCAGCTTATCAGTGCCCTCTAAAAACCATTCTAATAATTAAGCCTTAAAAGCATGCCTAGCGAGCTACAGCAAAGCACAGATGGGTCATAAAGTATCTGGGGTCTTTACAAGTAGTTACAGCTGTTGTCACCAAGTGTGAGTGTGTGTAGCAGGGAAACCCGTTTGATGAACTTGGGTGAGAGAGGCTTGCACAGGTTGCTTGTCGCAGATGGAATTTAAATGCGCTCAAGTGTTAAACAAAACCACACATGGAAACAACAAATATTTTTGTTCTGAAACCTGGTGTTGAAGATCCACAGTCATTTGTCTGTGTAATAAAACACAATCACCTACTTCTCCCTCTAGCATGACTTCAACAGTCGAAAATCAAATTTGTGCAGAGTGTACTTTATTTGTTCACATTACCTATTGGTGGTTAAAAACCACTTCATCTGACAGTTTAAAGTCTTTTAAACCAAAAGAATTAAACATAGCATCTGCTAAAAAATCTGCAAGTTACATGGACGCAATATACAGGAGTATAAAAAAATCAACAGTATTCTACAGAAAATAGTCTCAAAACAGCAAAGAAAGATTAGGCATGTAGGCATGATCCTGAACTGAACAAATATGAATTAAAAAACAGCTAACAAAACGTAAAAAAAAAATCCCAAATATTTGTATAAAAGAAGCAAGATTGAAAGTGCAGGTGCTCCAGTTTTCATTTTAACATATTACTCAGTAAGTTGATACAGGATACTATTCATTTTATATAAAGTGTTCTCAGTAAGACTTAAACATTCAGTTACATTATCTTGCAGGTTTTTTCCATTACTGCTACTTTACACGGTTGTAAATGAAGACTTATGCTATGCAGGTTTTTTATTTTCTTAATCTAACAAGGATATAATAGGATGGTGGTAAAGGTTAGTTTTAAGAGCTAAGCTATATATGCTGTAGATCCAGCCTTAGAAGTATATATATATATATATTTATTTTTTAAACTTTTAAAAACAGCTTTCAATTTTTAAAAAGAGACTCCTGCCATCTGTTCTGGGACCTGCATATGCTGTCTTTGAAGCACACCAGCAAAGCTTCCCGGTCCACTGGTTAGGAATACGGCTCCAGGCAGGGTCATGCTGAAGATCTTTCCTTGGTGGCCGCAGCTGGGACAGGACTTTCTTTCTGCTGGGTTTGGGGCAGCCAGAGGCCGCTGAACCCAGGGAAAGGCAAACGGGCTCTGCCTTCTGTCGGAGCAGAAATCATCACACTTGGCCACATTTGCCTGATGTGCCAGCCAGGCTTGGGACCGACTCCGCACTTCTACTGCAGCGCAGCAGTCCCAGGCAGAGGCAGTTAGGAGCCAGGCAGGTGTCACTGAAGTGATCTTTCACGTACTCAAAAAATAAAATCGAAGCACACCTTAAAACCCATTATCCTCTTTGAAAAAAAAAGTTCTATGAAATAAAATTATCCTTCAGGGATGTTGCCTGGAACTCAATTTCACCTGAGGTCCTATTCGGGTTGACAGCGTCCCTTTAAATTTTAGGTACTTCCTGTCTTGTTCATTTTTTTCCCCAAGAATCAGATCTCTACATATGTCTATTTTAAAAATGCACATAAATATCAGCATTAACATTTAGAAATTAAGAACTAATCTTTACCATTTTGTATTGACAGCAAGGTTAATAATACACACACTTCACTGACAACTGTTATTTTTTTTCTGCATTTTGAATAAAATTTGCATTTGTGTAACATTTCCCACAGAAAGAGTGATTATACTTCAAGATCGTTAAGTTTGCACCCCAACATTTTCACATTAGTGAAAACAATCATGTTTTGAAAATACCAGGGCCTGTGCCAGGTACTAATAAATACAGAATAAAAAAAATAAATAAAAAACCCGACTGCCTTTTATCCCGACATAGTAGAGATTTCATAGTCACTGGCTGAGGTGATTGGTTTACCCATCATCCTTACGTTTTTAGCGTTAGTAATCCTAGCCATCATGGACACAGGCTTGTCAAAGTACCTAACCAGCGCTGGCTCAGTCAAAAGGGAGGCTAAAAATTGTTCAAAGGTAATGGCCCAGTCTCTGTCAATGCTCGTGCTTCTACGAAGAGAAGCGGTGTGGTTGCTCCGTACCAAAACGGTGTCTTCACCGATGTCCTCGCAGTGCAGTTTTTCTTCTTCATGCGAACCTGCACTCAGTACTGAGTAGGAGGACATCGAACTATCATCTTTCGTATCATCATCGGAAATGAGCATGGAAGAACAGGCTCCGTTGTCCCTGGGAGAAGAGTCTTCGAGCTTAATGTCTTCCATCTGCATGCCCAGGGTGCCGTCGGTACAAACGGCCTCCTCGCTGTTGCTGACGAGGCTGCTTTGGAACGGCTTGTGCTGCTCGAGGGGGTACTGCTGGTGCTCCTTCTTCTGAAACAGCTCGCTCTGAACCGTTTTGCTGCAGTTGGTACTGCTGCTGTCTGTCTCTTTCGTGGGCTGCACACTGAAGAGCTTACCGACCTCGCCTATCTCCAAAAGCAAGCTTGTCACCGCAGCGGTAGCGTGGTACAGATCTTGTTCATTGGGGTCCTCACTGAACATATTGTACATGGTCTTGCACAGTTCAATGAACTGTCCCTAAACACAGAGGGAGGAAACATTAATGAGGCAGCAAGAAACAAACCAGACCAAGACCTACCAAATCAGTTTTAAAAGTCTGGAATGGAGATATGACACGATAGTTTATGTGGTTAAACTGGAACTGGAAATAATACAGGTGCAGTCTAGAAAGCATTTCCTATGACTGGGCGGCCAGATGTGTTGCCTCTCTCAAAGCTACTTAAATAAACTGTTGGATGTTTCTTTCAACATATGACAAATTTATTTCTCTGCAGCCACAGGAGGGCAACAGAGGGTGAGCAGTGAGACACTTAGCATTCATTTCTGTGGATTTTCTTGTAGGAATGACGCTAAGTATAACTAGGAGTTGGATAAAACTAATGAGAAATAATGAAAAACAAAAAGAGACACCTGCAGCACTCTCCTAATTGACAGCAGTAACTTAGTTGGACATGAGCCCCCTGGAATTCAAAACTCACAAATTAAATAGGAAGGAGACTCGCTTAGGGCTACCTTAAGTAAGAAGTTCTACAGGGAACAAACCCTCCCTATATGCTCTGGAGGAAACAGCTGTCCCAGTGGATCTCCTCCTCCTTAGCAGCTACGGATCTAAGGGGGACGAGACTGACAACTGACAAATTACAAAACATAAAATGCTTCTTTCAGGTAATGTGTATCGCACATTATGAGCTAGCTGATCATAGTCAGTGTCATATCACCCTTTGTCTAGAGATCAAAATAAAATGTTATCATTCCTACATGTGTGTATCTAATTCTGAGGATGTTTTGGGAGCTGAATGCCAGTTACAGTATGCTGAAAACAACTTCTGTGATCAGCTGACTGCTGCTCTGGTAAGAAAGTACCTGCCTCAAAATAAAACCTTTATTTGGTGTTAATGTATAGAAAATTTATAGGTACATGGAGAAAGTTTAAAGTTAATGAAAAATAAGTAAATGTCAGCAGAAGTACCTGATTCAGTTTGGGCAAGTCCTTTGCATGTTTTGCTTTGGATTTACTCTCTTGGCTCCACATTCTCAGATAATTTCGATTCTCTTGTGAGCTCTTCTTGCCTATTACCCAGAGATACAGCAAATTCAACAAATTACCCAGAGATGCAGGAAAAGTCCATGAAGAAACCTTAAATTAATACTTTTTTTCCCTTTTCAAAAGGAGCATCTTTACAAGAAATGAAAGGTGTAATTCAAATGGAGGCACCATGCATACCTTTGTCTGTTTTCAGACTCACTGTAACAAACCCGTCATCTACTCCTTGTTTGCTCCTGCTGTCTAGGCCAACAACTAGGAAGCAGAGGGGTGTGGGGAGAGAGATCAGCGTGGGTTTAGATACATACATACTTGTTGTGTATACAGGGCAAAACAAAGAAGCTGTTTACGCTGCAGAAAATGCACAATATCAAAGGACAGGACTAAATGATGATTTTTGTTTATTCTTCATTTTGCTAACAAGTTCTGTAGAATTAATAACGTACATACTAAGACAGGGACCATCTTAGGTTTTGCTTGCGTAGTACAATGATTAGCCTGCGTTACCACAACACAACCAGCTCCTAGCATGATGTGTGTTTGGTGATTATTTTAGTGCACCTTCCTTTGTCTATCAGGACTTTAAATTGCCATCTCTAGTCTATTAATTCATATCTGTATTTTCAAACAACCTTCCTTCCCCTGTGATCTGAAGGACGGGCAATATTCTTCTTGAATCACAGAGAAACTTAACATCAAATACATCAAGAGAATGCCATTTAAGACAACAGCAATGAGACCCAGGTCTCTCTCATTAGGGCACAAAAAGATTTCAAACTGCTGAACTACCTTTTCATGTATCTTTCGGCTTCAGTTTTTTAGCATATTTTAAGTTCTGATCCAAATGTATCTTGAAAGCAAATATATCTATTCTCATTCTCCATCAAGGAATGCACACTGCATTTATCACAAAATTAAGTCTATGGCAACACACTGATGACATCACTCTGAGAGTACTTCTGCTATGCACAATCCAGGGGAGTTCTTGGTGTGCACACCTCCAAGGACATCAAAATACGTACAAAGACTACATACTACTTTTTACAGAGAATACTTCACTTTCAAAGTTTAATCCAATTTAAAAACTAGCTGCCTAAAAGGACATGTTGTTTGAAACTCATTACCTCATCTTTTCATGCCCAAGACAAAGGATGCCTACCGTGTGTACATTCTGGTGTGATGTCTTCAAAAAAGTATTGAGTAGCTTCAAAAGCAGAGTCTGGCTCTTCTTGCTCAGGGGATGGATCTAAGCAATACAATAAAATTCTCTCACTAAAAATTAACGCCCTTTAATTAAAAACTAGAACATATTTCCATTGACACATTTAGAATGTCAGAAGTCTGAGGATGTGATGGGTTAGGAATGACGTCTCTTCAGCTTACAGGAGATGAAAACTGGACCTGTATTGTCTCCTCCCCGACACCCAATACTGCCTGACTAACAAGTAGCCATTTCCCTTCAGAGGCTGACTTGCCCACCTTCCCGTATCTACTTCCACCACTTTCTTCTGTGCAGCTCAGCATGTCCCAAGCAGAGTCTGAACGCTTTGTCATCTGCAAAGAGCCTGTCATGATTCTGTATGAGCTTACCAGTCACTGAATACCAGAAGCTGCATTCTTGACAATTGATCTCTTCTGTTAGAGTTTAGTAAAACTGTCATTTTTTCCAGTTAAATTAGTGAATCACTGAAGCCCACCTCCGGGAAAACCAGCCGGAAGCAATCAGGGACACATGTTCAAAAGAACACGAAGGTGAATGTCCTCTCAAAGCTTTTCTGTATCTTTATGACAGGATGTGAATGTGCACAAGAATAAAACCCAAACATATATCATCACCCAAACAGTGGCAACATACTTAAAATCGCAAATTCAGCGAGGACAGCAACAGGTTCTTTATGGCACATGTGTGACAAGCCAGAGAGGATTTAGTTCCAGGACATCATTTTCTTCAGGGGCAAAACTGTTTTGAGGAATTTCCATCCCCTCTCCACCCTAAACTGCCTTTCTCACTTAGCTGAGTCCAACAGTTTGGTACAGCTCCCTGGAAAACGCATCAATGAAACGATCCGGAGCTTCCCTCTGCAAACAGCTGTAGCAGCCCAGAGGGCAAAACGGGAAGCAAGCCTGGTGATAGGGCATGCAGGAACATTTTAAGGTGGCCTCACTGTTAAATAAAGTGCATTCTGGTAACAAATGCTGAAGAACACTGTATTTGTTATGCATGGGGGAAGTCACCGACCCCAGCTAAACACGCAAGAGACACCTATAAATATCCTGTTTGTGGCAGGAGCAATAGAGGGCTGCATGGGTGCTTTCAGACTTTCCAAATCCATGTCTGGTTATGGTAGAAACTCTCTTATTTTACCACTGCATAAACAGCTACAATAATTCCCACAAATTAATTTTTAATTGGGAAAGCTAGTCATAAACAAGTCTGCTCCAAATCTCTGTTCTCGACAAGATGACAGCTATTTTAACATCATTTACTTACCAGGCAAAACATGCATTTTATACAGCAGCTTCAGCTTCTCTGTAAGATCTCCATGGCATGCTGCACCTAAACAGCATCACATACAGTATGTTAACACTCAGCATTCAACGCCATTCTATTTATTATTGCTACAGTATTTTGTTTTAGAAGCTGCTATGTTCACTGTGGGAAGCACTGTACTCCCTTTACAGCCTGAGATCATAAGGCAGTCATTTGACTTCTAAGATCATATGGTCTGCAGTAGAAATAGCAAGATAACACAGACCACCTTACCCTGAATTTTGTACTTCAAGCTTGGGTCCTTCATTAAATGTCTATTTTATAAGGCTTAAAAATAATCTATGATCACCACATTACTGCTCAGAAAGGCCTCCAGCTGAAAATTAAGAAAGTCTTTTTGTGTGGACTTCAAACTCACTGATTTGAGGATTTGATAATAACATCACATGATTTGGAACAAGATATTTACCAAAAAAAGAGCGAGAAATTCAAGTAAACAGCTTTATCACAGCTTAGCCATGGGCTAAACTGATGTTCAAGCAATATTTTCTAGTGATTTATCCACCTCAACCCCTATTCCTTTCTGGTCTGCACTACAATTAGCTGTATGAAATCCAAGTGGTCTATTGTAGCCCCTTCTTCCAATTAATTAAATGGGTATTAGTTAATTTTAAAGTACTGAAATAACCGATAATCAGACTTCTTAAAAAATCTTACTTGTTAGGGCATACAATCTATAAACAAATGAATTAACCTTCATTAATCAGGTTACACAGAGATTTACTTTACCTTACCAAGATGAATCTGCGTGTGTTTCCTAATGCCAGGTCCTTTTTCCACTCAAAATATATGTGAATGAAGACAACACAACGCAGGACATGTCTACCAAAGATGTTATTTGGACTGTCTCAGAGTCAACCCTCTGGGTCTCCCCCGGGAGAGGTTGGAAAGTTTTACAAAGGGAAGAACAGCCTACTGACAATTTGCAGGAACTGCCTGACAGTTGGCTGCAGTGGGCTACCCAAGATCTGATGACTGATGCTGTATTAAACAACAAAAAAAATTAGGCTAAACTCATAAAGACAACGGAAGAGGAACAGACGTCTGATAGAAGACCTGTGCCCCTATTAAGGAGGGTTAGGGGAGACCTTTGTATGGGTGGATACCTCAGCTTAGGCCGCCACTTTGACCTGCACACTGCAATACAGGGATAATTTCATAGGAGAGCCCAGAGAATTCAGTGGCTTCCTGCACAGCCCCTGCATCCCTGAACAGCAAAGCAGACAACCCTGCAGAGGGCCTGCGAACAGCACCGGGGAGGTGTCAAGACCATTCTTAGTTGCAACTAGAAATACCTCCTTCCTGGCGCTCTGGAGGCACAGGTCTTAAAACCTTTAACAAGTCTTGTCTTTTTGCAGTACGAGTCTCAGATGATGCATCGCCAGTTTTTATCCAGAAGTTTTAAATTTACTCTGTGGTGAGAGAAGCAGCTGTGCTTTGAAGACAGCACGACTACACCCTTTGAATCTTTCTACCCGCAACAGCGACAGTGAAAGCTGTCACCTTCACACTGCAACTGATGCCCTCACTCACATCTGCTCTTACCCCTCTCAGGGCTTGACTGCCACACACTACTAGGAACAACCTTCACTGAGCCCCATTTCTGACTGTTCTCCCTCTGTCAACACTATACAGGTGTCAAGTCTTTTCTGGGCATAATGTCATGTGTGCACAGTTTTGCCCGTCTTTTTTGAGCCCATTAACAAAGTAATTTAACAGGTTAGAACTTTGTTCTGTTAAAATAAAATTTAGTGTTAATAGAAGTGTTGGCTTCTGTTGCCTCTCTCTTGAACACGGGTGGAAGGGTGCGGAGTATTTGTACAGCATTTAGCTCCCTAAAAGGACAGGAGGAGTAGTGAGGTTAACACTGCTTTCTGAACATCCTCCTGCAACCTGTGCTTGGAGAAAAGCTGTTTTCAGAAAAAAAAAAAAACAACCCAAAACAACAAAAAAACCCACAAAACACTCAGGTACTCCTTGAGAGACAGTTTTCATGGCACTGACTTTTGCACAAGGCTGTGGCAAGGGCTGCAGTCACCAGCAGTCACTGGAGAGGTGGAAGAGCTGGGTGCTCTCAGAAGGGAGTATCACAAAAACACAATGGGAGGCAGGGGGCCACTTGGAGTCTGTGTGGAAATCTCCCCAGTTTACTAGGATCCTGAGTCAACAGCTACAACCCAGTGTGGTATCGGGGTGCAGATAAGCTTCTTCATGAGTGAACACCCCAAAGAGCACATAACCAAGGCTGACAACCCTTACTGAGCAGCACAACTAGAACAAACTAATCATGATCACTCCTTTATTTAACTTGCAGTAACATGACACAGAGTAAACGTACAGAAGAATATGCCAGGTTGCTCCATCTTTGCTCAGCTGAGGTGCTAGAAGCACGTGAAGTGGGACGTTCTTGAGCTATCTGCTGCATGGGTTATGAAAACGAAACTGAGATGCCCAGTTATGATTACAGTGCTCATATCCCAAGAATTTCATGGTGACACAGAAGACAAGGCCATGAGTCCATACTGGAGGACACAGCACCCCTTTTTACCTCCTCTTCATGAAGCTCCTAGAAGGAGTCAGTGGCATCAAAGAGAGGCTTCAAGGCAACAAATCCTTACAGCTACATGGAACAAGGCCATTGAAAGAGAGTTGTGAAATGGAAACGCTTCAGGTGCCATGGCTGCTTCAGCTGTCAACAAGCACCCTCCGAGATGGGCCATGCCTGGCAAGTACTTGAACAGGATGCATCCTTTAGGGGAGCGAGACTTGTGCAATCACAGCCAGAGTCCAATACTGCTGTTCGGACACAGTAAAAGAGAAAGGATGGTGCCCACAGGTCATCTCCAGAATGCCCATCCTCTGACCATGCTTTCTGGGACAGCGACAAGGAAAAGGCAACAGTCCCCCATTGAGCAGATGCATCTTGCTCCAGCAGAAAATATTTCTCATTTTCTTGGCCAAGGTCTATTGGGTTGGTGAGGCAGACTGAAACAGCTGATGTTCGTGGAATTTTTATAAGTCCCGAAACATGGTGAAATACGCTCTAACAAATCCCATGTTGTTTTTGTTGACTGCGTTGTCCTTGCTACCATTCATGTGGTGCTTCAAACAAAAGGGGCCAGGGGGGCTGACTTCTTTAAAAAAAAAAGTTTTCAAGCTATGTCACACTGGGCTTAGTTTCTGAAAAAATGTGGTTTTGCAGAATAAGCAATTGTGATTGTTTAACCCATTGAAGATTTTAGTGCAGTCATGTTGTGACTGCATTTGTGCATTTTACATTAATTTCTGTTCACAGTGCTCAACACTGTTCCTTGTTCTCATTATTGGTTCTAAAAATGCTCTCTCGACCAATAACTGGTTGCTTGTTATTAACAGCATCATGTAAGCAGCAAGCGTTGTTAACCCATGGATCATGTCTAAAAGGCCATTAAGTGTATTTGAGGGACTGTCTGCCAGTAACAATTCCGAACTGCATCACAGGAAGCATTGATTTTTTGGGTGGTGTGAAAGAGAGGTGTGCAAGCAGTTTTACTGTCACATAGCTATGCTGCACCGGCGAGAGCACTGGTGTTACCATTGCTGTACAGAGGTTTTAATCCAAGGCTGCATTTGGAGCCCTAACACCTAAAAATACCATTACAAATTTTTGCTGAAAGCCAGTCTGGAAACCTTTCCTCTCTCAAAAAGAATCAAAAAGTAAAGCTGAAGGAAACATCAGGTTGCCATGAAATGACATGATAGACGGTGAGATGTCAGTCATTTACAGGGAATAATTCCTGCTATATTCAAAAAAGGGGTGGTCAGCTCCTGTCTCACAGAATCACAGGATGTTAGGGGCTGGAAGGG